GGACCAAGCTACTTATGAATGTAACCACAATTAACATCACTACGGTCGGGCTATCGAACACGGAGTCAAAAGTGAATTACGAGTCGGACCAATTTCCCTATACGAACGGAAAGATACGTCTATTTTAGTTCAAGAAGTCTAATAGTCTATAGCTTGTTCGAGCGAGCTCCCCTCTCCCGTTGGTCGAGGTACGAAGTCACTAGAGAATTCGTACCGACTACGTACGTTGGTCGTACCTCTCATTCTAATTCAGTGCTCTCCGAACCGTGCGGGAAGGTTTCCCATCACACGGCTCACCAACTTGATCTTCCGCGGGAACCGTTTCATGTCCGAACAGGCCTGGAAAAAAGGTAAGGTCTCGCTCCACTCAAGTGTACGGCATCTGCCGTGCTTAGGCCCCTTCTTCCCTTACCTAATGAAAGTAGTCTCAAATAAGGCCTGCGGTGATTCACTACCGAAGGCTGGATCAATCAAAGGGGGTACTACGAGCCCTCTGCCCCACGCATCTAACTAGCTCGCGTGGTTCACCGGTTCCACCGAAGAGTGATTCAGTCGATACAGAGGTGCGCTTGAAGTGGGGGGTGTGCTGTCCCTATTGGGCTGGGCCCTTCCCCATAAGGCCCCACCGTCGGGGCATAAGCGCCCTCTTGCTACCCATATGCGAGGCGCCGTCTTAGCCTTCCCTGACCAGGGTCGCTCCCACACCTGTAGCGTTCGTGATCGGCCTCCTCAACTGTGTATCGATCGAAAGGAGCCCCGGAGTGGTTACGTGAAGTATGTCCCCCCTGATTCCCGACATGCTATGGTGCCCCGGGGTGGGTAGGAGCGGGTCGAGTCCGTATCGCCGCGGAGCAACAGCCGCGTCCGGATCTGATCTATTTACTCGGCAATTCATCCGGTGACTTCACGGTCGCCAAAGAAGCCCCAAGAAGCATCAAACATTTCCGATGAGATCCATGGAGCAATTCTTAGATAGCAAGCACTAGCTCCCGGTGCGACTTCATAAAAAGCAATCAAAGATAAGATCGAAGAGAATGAAACGCACGTGGTGGTTATTATAGCGGTTCCTTCTTTTCCTAGAAAACGTCCGAAACAACCTGCTACTCCACTACCGAGCAGGGGCAAAAATACGATAAGTAGATACATAATTTCGAGTGTGATCAGACAACCAAAAATCAGACAATGACAGAGCGGCCTTTATACAAGCTTATACAAGCTTTATATTGGTTTGGTCTATTTCCTCTGGCTCGCTATCATACTGACCATAGACGTCGTTTTCTACCATTTGTTATGGATTGGCCTTTTCCCAATCCTTAACGTACTTTAAAAATTTCTTGGAAGCTTCTTTCCCTGATGGGAATTGGTTGGTTGACAAAGTATCGATAGCCTGAACAATAAAGTTAAGTTTTTGTGGGGATGCGCCATATAGGCCAAGTTTATCATGAACGTTCATTATAAAATCGGCCCGGGGTTGTATCCGGGAATAAGCCCCGAGAAAAACCTCTAGCCGCTCTTTCACGGTCCCAATGTCGAGAATAGGCCCTGGCCCCGCTTGGGGGGGTTCGGATGGCCCCTCGGCTGGGGGGATCTGAGGCGGCAGATTCCCCTGGCTTCGGGTTGGAGCCGACGAGCCCAGTTCATTCCAAATATCATTTTGAGAAATGGACTGAACTGGGCTTGGTTGATCGACTTCTTCCCCAAGCTCAGGTGCGGGTGCCGCGTCTGACAGCCCGCGGAAAAAAGAAGAGGCGGGTTCGCCCGGAGGGGAATTCACCATCATCTTAGAAAGCTCTGGATCCAAAAGACTTGAAACTATGAATCCAATGCTTCCTAAGAAACCTAAACGTTTCCAGAAAAAGTTTATAAATTTTCTTAAAAGAAAATTTAGAAACTTCATAAGAATCAAACTGAAATCTACTTTCAAATAAATGCATGTAATACATGCAACGGAAATCGAACTAAAAAAAATAAATACTATAAATACTATAATAGGGATCACATTGGTGGGAATATAGGCCGATACGTCTCCAGCTTGTGTTTCAATGACGGGTAAGGCGGTCAAGCTACCTGCGCCTGTCTGGTCCGATCGTTTAGCGGCTCTTTCTAAAAGACGGGAATGTAAATAGAAAACATCGCCTGGGAAAGCCTCACGGCCTGGTGGTCGGCGTAACAATAATGACATTTGTCGATATGCCACCGCCTGCTTACTCAGATCATCATAGATTATTAATGCGTGCATTCCATTATCGCGGAAATATTCCCCCATGGCACACCCAGAATATGGGGCCAAAAATTGCAGAGGAGCAGGATCCGAAGCGGTGGCTGCTACAAGAATGGAATATTCCAAAGCATTCGCTTCTGAAAGAATTTGAACTAATTGTGCCACAGTTGAGCGTTTCTGTCCAATCGCTACATAGACACAATACAATGTCTCACTCTCAGAGGAGGCCCTTGAGTTCAGTTGCTTTTGGTTTAATATGGTATCGATAGCAATAGCTGTTTTTCCAGTTTGTCGGTCTCCGATTATAAGTTCTCGTTGACCACGACCTATAGGAACCAGGCTATCTACCGCTTTTAAACCTGTTTGCATAGGCTCGTGCACAGATTTACGTTCAATCATCCCAGGGGCTTTCACTTCGACACGTCTT